ACAGGGAACAGAGAAGGAGCAAGTTTGGCAGGAAAGAGGATCAACTCAGGCTGGAATTTGCTGAGTTAAAGGAGCTTCAGGGCATAGAAGAGGAGGTTCCCAGAAGACAGGGAACAGATTCAAAAGTTGGGAGTGAAGTTTGGCCCGGAGAAAGTCATGGAACCCATAGACACGATTCTGGAATGAGAAGACAGCTAAGAGGAGAATCAGAGAAACACTACAATTTAAGAAACTGTCATGGTGTAAAACTCAAGAACTGAAATACAGAAGACCCTAGGATGAAAGTCCATCTTCCAAGTATTAGCAACCATGCCCAATTTTTTGGCCAAATTTTCACAATCCACCATCCACACACATCCATATTCCCTCTTGTCTTTATCAATGACAAGTAAAAGCACAACCTGCATCCTCACCACATGTACAAAATTCTTGTACAAAATTTCTCTAGAGCCTAACATGGGTGCCCTCTTGAGTCAACAAGAATGAACACTGCCAGTGAGTTTGTAGAAAGTTGACTTCAAGAACATGCCACAAGCTTATAGTAGATATTGCCAAAGGACTGGTCACAAGACCCAATCAGTCACAGCTACTAGCCCTGAAGGAGATGAGTCCAGGAACCTAGAGTTTAGACCTGTAAGCAAATAAGAGTAGAAAGACCTCCAGTTTACTTTTGTCTTCCCCATTTTCAGGCAGAGAAACTGATGTCCAGAGATTGAAAGGACATTGTCTAAGGTCCGCAGTTGACCAGATCAGTGTGACTAAGTTATGTCATGTTGGTTAAAATGTCTTAACAGGCAGCATATTTCCAAAGTTTCTGCCAATGGGACCAGACACCATGGGCATACTTCAGAAACTAGTGAGTCTGCAATTCCTCTAGCTCATTCATAAGTTCCTGGGATGAGACTCAATCCTGGTAATGCATGGGTGAGTGAAGAAAAGGTGGAAGTTATTACCCTTCGTAGGGATTCATAGACTGTGGTTGCCACATATCCCTCATCCCTGAGGCCATTGGGATCTGCATTTGTCCTGGGCAGGGACTTTGGGGTCATTTAATGATCACAACAAGGGGATCCAAGGAAGGAATCCAAACTTGTCTTGAAAAAGTGATTATCTTCAAAACTAGCTTGTATCAGAATTCTCCTTCCCAAAAATAGCTGTCCATGGGTTTGCATTTTCACAGCTCTCTTCTGGGCATCCAACTTTTGGTCTGACCTTGATTCAGGCCTTCTCCTTTATAGCTGCCAGAAGGACCTTTCTGAATATCCCTTTTGACAACATCTCTCTCTGCTTGGGAGAACCCAGTGCTCTCTTCCACCTGCAAGCAATTTAGCAGACATCCTGGCCACAGCCTGAGCCTACAGCTTTTCCAGCCATTGCTTCTTTCAGGTTCCCCCAAGTTCTGTTGCTCTGGGTGTCTTCCAGTTCCCTGAGTACAACAGGTATTTTTAGGCCCTAGTGCCTTTGCACATGTTTCCTGGAATACCATTTTCTTTGTTACCCACTAAAAGCAACTCCCACATATTCGTATTTATTTAATTTTTTGTATTCAGACTTTGAATTCCTCAAAAACAGTAAATGGTGTCATACTCACCTTGTTATCCCCAGTACATAGTTCAGGATTTGCCAACATGTTGGAATGAATGCCTGTGAGACAATCAGACTACCTGCCACAGTCAGGAGAAAGAGGAAGGCTGGGGTAGCTGTGAATAGTACAGGATGAACCTCCTCATGAATGTGGAAGAGGGGGAGCATCAACAGAATTACCATGAATTAACACAGTGGCCATATTTCCACCTGGTGGAGGAATCCATTTTTATCTGAAACCATCCTCAGGAAGTTACTATTCCTACCAGAGAGGTAGCAGGCTAAGAAAAATCCCCTTCATTAATTCCTCCCAACAATTTGAATAATGGATGGAACACGGGGAGTTTAGAAACCCAGGTTATGGGTTGTAAATGCAGCTCTGGGCGTACTGGGTAGGGGAATAGGGGTGGTCTCTTGAACAGAAAGCCAGGGCAACTATTTCCCAGAATAAATTAGAAGAAGCAAAGCTCCTTATGAATATTGGGGAATGCCATTGATGGCCCACAACGTAAACTTCAGTCAAAACATAGCAGAGGCTGGAGATTTTCTGCAAATAAACAGTAATGCATAGGCAAGAAGAGCAAGGTATCTTCAGAAGGAAGTCAGCAGTATTTCCAGGAAGAACCAGAATGTAGTCCTCTCTCTGAGCTGTTTCTAGCCTTGGTTTTTCACCAGTTACATAGCGAGAGTGAAATAGCAGCTTATATCAGGCTCTTGTATACCCCATACGATATCATGGATAGTTTTTTCTGTACTAGTGTCCTCAAGTTGTCCACATAGGTTTCTCATTCTAGAATATGAGCTCAGTATTCTCTATTAACATTTTTGTGATTAAAGTCCTAAATTGCAGTCTATCTAGTTACTACATAGGATACCCAAGCTGGGTGCCTCGGATCTGACATATGAAAACAAGATTTAGATGCCCATATGGGGTATTCCTTCATTTAACAAGTATTTATTGAGCACCTACTATGCGTCAGATACTGGGAGTATAATACTAAACAAGAGACCCTGTGTTCTGGGACTTGATAGTCCCAGTGGGGAAGGGACACTGACAAGCAGCCAGGGCTTATAATACAGTCTATGCACAATACTCTGCACTGTGACAGGAAATTAGAGGGGGCCATGGAGACACAAACAAGAGGCCTCTGCTTTAGACTAATAGGGTCAGGAAAGGCTTCTTGGAGAAATTATGTCCATGTTGAGACATCCCATTATACGATGTGAAGGGAAATGGAAAACAAGGCATGCTCCAGGCATATAAGCTGGGCAACTGCATGTGCAGAGAGCTGAAGCTGAGAGAGAGCATGGCCTGTTAAGGGAACATGAGAAGAGCAGGACAGGCCCAAGTGTGGGCCCAGCTCAGTTCAGCCCATCTATACATGTGTTACCAAGGAAGACAGCTCAGGATCAGCCCCAACCTGATACTCTATTCTCACCTCAATTGTAGATTTGAAGATTCAGCTTTACCAGGACTGCAAGGCCAAATGGTCCTTGAAGCCCCAAGCCCAGCAGCTCAGAATCGCCCAGCCTCCAGCATGCAAGGAAGAGTAAAATGAAAGTTGCAGCCATGACCGAAGACCCTGCCTGGCTTCCTGCTCTGTGGTGGCTTCATCTCAGTAAGAAGGCTGCCATCTTGGGAATGAACATTGGGGTGGGGTGGGGTGGGTGGATGCCAAGGAGGGAGACCCAAACACCTGCCCAGTTCATTCAGAGAAGCTGGTTGTTACCACGTGATCAAAAAAAGAGACAATGTGACTGCATTTCAGTCACATTTTCTGCAGGCTTGTAGACATAGTAGAGATTTACAACCCTTTACATTATGCGGTGGTATCCCTCTGAGCAGGTGCACCAGAAAGCCTCCTTGGAAATAATTACTCCACTCAACAGCCAAGAGTCATCTCCTAAGGAATGTGTATTGTTTCAACCTGGGATTGGAAGAAGGGCAAAGTTCTCGAACAATATTTCATGGTTTACAAACATCTTGATGTTTACCGAGCACTTGCTGTGTACCAGGCTTCTGCTGGGTATTTTAATATCTAGCATGAAGTTGGCTTCTTGTGACAGCCCTTACAGGATAGGTAATATATCCCAGTTTTCAGATCAGGAAATTGAGGCCCAGGGTGGTGTAAGAAACTTGCTCAAAATGCACCTTGTTAAGTGACAGAAATGGAATTCAAATCCGGACCTCTTGCTTCCTCTAACTCTCATCCCTGCATTATCTTATGTTATCATCTCAAGAGCCATGGTAAGGTTGGCAATATTAGTAGTTTCAGATGAAAAAAAAGCGAGGCTTGAATAGGTGGCAGAAGGTACCAGAAGCAGGTGTTTCCAGCTGATAAGTTTGGGCCCATCAGCACATTTTCTGAGGCAGCTCCCCATGCTGAGCACCACCTCCCACAATTTTAGTCCAACCTTCTAATGAAAAATAAACGCCTGCCCACCCCTCCCCTGTGCACTAGGCCAGATCAGGCAATTAAACAGTGTATGCGTGGGAAGAGGACTTATTCTGAGAGACCAAGCTGATAGGGAGGGGTGATGGCAGAGAGAGAACCCAGCTGGCTCAGCTGGGTCTTCCCAGGACCCCTCAGGCCCCTCTCCCACTGCCCTTTCCACTCAGAAACCTGCCTCCACTGCCCAGAACCACCCATCCTGCCTGGGTGAAGCAGGATCCACCATCCTGCCCCTGAATCCTGGAACTAAGGATTTTACATGCTTTCCAACCCAACTCTAACACAAGGCCATACAGCATAGTGGTGAAGGACACAAGAATTGGAATGATACCCACCTTCACTATTACTCAGTCTGAATTTGGACAGTGGCTCCGTCTCTTAGAGCCTGTGTTGTCTTCTGTGAGATGAGGATGATAGTAGCACCTAGCACACAGGGCTAAATGAAATCACCCAGGTGAAGAGAGTGTGCCAGGGATAGCTACATGACAAGTGCTCAGAAAACATGAGTCACTTGTCTCCATTTTTGCTTTATATTGAAGTATAACGAACACATCAAAAAAAATGCATAAGTGCATAGCTCACTGTTTTTACACAAATTGACACACCTGTGGAACCAGTACCCAATTCAAGAAACAGCATTCTCAGCACCCCAGAAGCCCCTAGACTACACCTTTCTGGTTACTATTTCCTCCCAAGAGTAACCCCTATCCTTACTTCTTACAGCATAAATTTCACCTGTATTAAAGATGGTACTATTTGAGCAAAGACATGGAATCAACCCAGATGCCCATCAATGATAGACTGGATAAAGAAAATATGGTTCATATATGCCATGGAATACTAGGATAAATCCATAAAAAGGAATGAAATCATGTTCTTTGCAGCAACATGGATGAAGTTGGAGGCTATAATATTACGCAAATTAATACAGGAACAGAAAACCAAATACCACATGTTCTCACTTATAAGTGGAAGCTAAACATTGAGCACATATAGACATATTGTAAATATAAGAACAGTAGACATTGTGGACCATTAGAGAGTGAAAGGAGCAGGGGGATGGGGAGTTTTAAAAAGTACCTATTGGATACTCTGCTCACTACCCGGGTGACGAGATCTGTACTCCAAACCTCAGCATCACACAGTATCCCCAAATAACAAATGTACACATGTATCCCCTGTATCTAAAATAAAAGTTGATTTTTTAAAAAGTGGTGCTACTTGTTTTGTTAACTATAATTTAAAACGTACCAGGAATTTGCACAAATTCTTTAGCTGTGTTACCTGATTAAGTCTTCATAGCAGCCTTCTAATGTAGGTATACTCACATTATCCCCATGTCATAGATGAATAAACAGAGAAGACTCTATGGAATCTGCAAAAATGCAGGTAGAGCTTAAGTGTAACAAGATCACAGTATTCAAAATCAAAATGCAGAAATCAATTGCATTTCTAAATACTAGCAACAGACCATTGGAAACTGAAATTTAAAATATCATTTACAAAATAGTTATACATACATTTTTAAACCATGAAATACTTTGGGATAAATTTAACAAAATAAGAAATATACAATCAAAATTATAAGGCATAAATAAAAGAAAATTTTAAAAGATTTAAATAAGTGAAAGTATAGACTGTATTCATGGGTTGGAAGACTCGAGATTTTTAAAATATAAATTTATTCCAAACTAACCTATAATTTTAGTGCAATCCCAATCAAAATTCCAGCAGACTTTTAAAAATAAATTGAAAAATTGATTCTAAAATGTGTGTAAAAAAACAAAGGCCCCAGAAGCGCCAAAACAATTTTGCAAAATAAGAACATTTCGAAGACTTACAATAACTGGTTTCAAGACTTGCAGTAAAGCTACTGGAATCTAGGCAGTGTGGTATTGGCATAAGAACAGAAAAGCTGGGTGCAGTAGCACAGGTCTATAATCCCAGCTACTCAAGAGGCTGAAGTGGAAGTGTCACTTGAACCCAGGAGTTTGAGACCAGCCTAGGCAACATAGCAAGACCCCATCTTGCTAAGGAAAAAAAAAGAATAGGCATACAGATCAATGAAATACAATGGGGAATACAGAAATAAACTCATACCTATACAGTCATTTGGTTTTAGACAAATATGCCAAGTAATCCAATGGGAAAGGGATAATTGTTTCTATAAATGGTGTTGAAATAACAACCTACATGTGCATAAAGAATATATAAATACAAGAAAGAAGAATCTTGGCCTCTGCCTCACAGGGCACATAATAATTAATTCAAATAATTTATCACAGACTTAACTTTAAAAGTTAAGACTGTAAATGTTCTATAAGTAGCAGAGGATCTTTACAAGATTGGGATAGGCAAATATTCTTATATAGAACCTGAAAAAAGAACCCATTGTAAAAAATGATAAATTATACTTCATCAAAATTTTAAAATGTCTTCTCTTTAAAAGGCACCATTAAGATAACAGGGTACATACAGGAAAAAACTTTCATTACACATAGGTCTGACAAGAGACTTATATCTAGAATATTTAAAGAACTCTTCCAACTCAATAGAAAAAAAAAAGCCTAAATTTTGTAGGTAGACAAAATATTTCTCAAGATACACAAATTGTCAATATTCACATTAAAAGATCATTAGTAATCAGGGACTAGAAATAAAAAAGCAAAATGAGATTATATGCCACGTCAATTAGGATGACTAAACTTAAAAAGGCTGATAACAAAAAGTGTTGACAAGTAGATGGAGCAACTGGAACTCTCATACATTATGGTGGGAAATGTAAAATAGTACAAACACTTTGGAAAAAACTCATGCAGTTTTTTACAATGTTAAACATATGTTTACTATATAACCTAGCAATCTTACATGTATCTATTTACCCATGAGAAATGAACACAGATGCCCATACAAAGAATTGTGTGCAAATGTTTAGCACAAATTTATTCATAGTAACCAAAAACTGGAAACCACTCAAATTCCCGTCAACTGGTGAACAGACACACAAGTTGTTGTAGCATCCATACAATAACATTACACTTAGCAATAAAAAGAAGCAAAATACTGGACTGATACATGCCATCACATGTATAAATCTGAAAAACACCTTACTGAGCAAGATGAGCCAGAACACAAATGAATAAATCTATATGATTTTATGTATAAGTTCTAGAAAGAATAAGTTTAATCTAAAGCAATAGAAAACAAATCAGTGGTTGCCTGGGTCTAGTGGTGGGAGAAAGGGGTAGGGAATAGGGAGGGGGTGCCTGGGAAGTATCACAAGGAGACATTTAGGGGTGATGGAAATGTTCCATATATTGATTATGATTGTAGTTAATGGGTTAATGAGTATATCTATTTGTCAAAATTTACTGGTCACTTAAAATGAGTGGGTTTTGTCATGTAATAATTACACCATCATTAATAAAATAATTTTAAATAGGGAAGGGAACATCACACACAGCGGCCTGTTGAGGGGTGGGGGTCTAGGGGAGGGATAGCAGTGGGTGGAGGGACTGGGGAGGGATAACATTGGGAGAAATACCTAATGTAGGTGACGGGGGGATAGATGCAGCAAATCACCATGGTATGTGTATATCTATGTAACAAACCTGCACGATCTGCACATGTACCCCAGAACTTAGAGTACAATAAAAAAAAAATAGAGAAAGCTATTGGTTTTATTATTATTACTTACTATCTCCCAGGAACTGTGCTAAGCCCTTTACGTGTATTATCCCATATAACTCTCTCAACAGCTCTCCAGTCTGTGCACACTAACATCATGCCCATTTCACAGAGGAGAAAACAGAGGCTCATGGAAGAATATGAAATAATGTAGTCAAAGTTCACCACTAATAAGCAATCCAGGATTTGAATTTAGGTAGTCTTAATCAGAGAGTATATGGCCTTTGAAGCATGGAAAAATTCCTCCGTGTACACTTAAGTAATTATCAGTACATAAATGATCGTTACTAATTATGTGCTTGTATTGTTATTTGCAGAGATGGTGCTTAAAGTCCACCCCTCTGAGTGTCAAGATTGCAGGCATGTGGGGTACCTCTAATTTGAAGGACAGCCCAGTCAGGGACTGGAGAGAATGTCAACACCCCAGCTGGATAAGACAAATTTTATCATAGGCCTTAGCCAACAGAGAGCTGGGTAGGGAAACTGAGACAGAAGTTGACCTGAAGGAAAAGTGTGCACATAGGCTAAAGCATGGAGGACATGAGCATCCAAGAAACACACACATACCAGGCCTGGGGCTCCAAGTAACAGAGAAAACTCTGAACCCCACCTGGGGTGGGGCTGACATTCCCAACGCACTTCCTGTACTTGTCATGGTGGATCAAGGATTGGGTAGGGCTGGGTGGGGTTGAAGGCCAATCTGAAGAGCCTGGTTGATCAGTGTGGCTGTCCCCTCTGGATCCCAGTCAATCTGAGACCAGTCACTCCTAGCAGAATGAAAAGCTTGCACATGGCTGCTTCTAACCTCAGCTTCTCCCTCTTTATAACACCAGGAAAGCTTTTCTTTGAAAATTCCCCTGCTTCTTTGAGTCCACAGTGATGAAGAATGAGATCACAGCCTGTAGTCATGACTTCGGTGCTGAAACAATTATTCATCCTGTTCTACTTAAGATTGGTGGCCCGTGCTCACTGGGTGATGAGCTCTCCCCCTAATCCCTCTCCCCACCAGTTCTCTCATGGCTCACTGCCCTGTTGGCTTTGTCAGGTGCAATTGCATCAGGTTAAGGCAGGGGAGGAGCCGTGAGGGCTGGGCTCCAGCTTGGGAATTAAGAAGTGGAGAGAGGCCAGAGATAGAAGGAAGCAAAAAGACAGAGACAAACACAGAAACACTCCTTTTTTTCAAAGTCTTAGGCATAAGGGGCCCTTCTCAATAGGTTACTATTTTTAGAATCATACAAAGAGTTGTTGAATCCAGACATGTGAGCCCCAGTGGTGAGATTTCTGGTCCAGTGAAAATATTTGAAAGTTGTTACTTAAAGTACCCCCAAGACAGCAAGAAGCAGGCTCTGTATGTGCCCTCAGTCAACAATATCTTCCCCACCCTCCCCCAAGACAAGACTCTAGGTTATGTTGGATCCATGAGAGGAGTCACCGTGTCATCCTCGAAATGTCATTGAGAAACCATCATACAATGATTGCCATGGTTTCCCCTCTATTTCTTCTGGAAGAGTGGAAGTAGGGGGAGGCAGAAAGTGTAGTGGCAGAGGATGAGGCTGACAGACCACTTCAATACTTAGTGACTAAGTACTAAGACAATGGGGTGTCCCAGAAGGATGCTGAGCAGCCAATGTTAGAACTGTGTTTTATATTAAAATGCTCCAGCAGCCAGAGTGAGGACTGGACCAGACACAGACCAGGGTGAGAGATCTTAAGATGGGCCCGGGGCCCATGATGGAGGGTACGAGATAGATTTCTAAGACCGAAATTTGTTATTTTACGTGTGTGGCTGCCCATTAATGTTTTTGTTTGTTTGTCTGTTTGTTGTTTTAGAGACAGGGTCCTGCTCTGTTGCCCAGGCTGAGTACAGTGTTGTGATCACAGCTCACTGCAGCTTCAGACTCCTGGGCTCAAGTGATTCCCCTGCACCAGCCTCCCAAGTAGCTGGGCCCACAGGCATGCACCACCACTCCTAGCTAAGTTATTAAATTTTTTGTAGAAATGGGGGCCTCACTGTGTTGCCTAGGCTGCTCTGAACTCCGGGTCTCAAGCGATCCTACCACTTCGGTCTCTCAAGTGTCTGGGATTACAGGCGTGAGCCACCAGGCCCGGCTGTTTGTTTGTTTTTGTTTGTTTTGTTTGTTTGTTTGTTTTCATTATCATTTTAACAGCCTTTTGAGATTTGGGGGAATTGGGGGAATAGGTCATAATGAGTTCCAATTTCTGACACAGAAGTCAGAACTCAAGTGATTTCCAGACTACCTTGCTGCTATGCCACAAGCACACCAGCCCCATCAACTAGACACTCCGGTTGGGAAGTGGTCAGTTTGAGAAACTGGTCTGTTTGGAGCTCACTCAGTTTTGCTGGTGTAGGAAACAACCAAGTCACCAGCTTTCAGGGCAGCATGTTTGCTAAGTCAAATTACCAACCCAGAGGTGACACTGATGCTGGTAACAGTGGTCACTTGCAATAAAGTCAGGTTTCTGGCATCTAGTGTGTTCAGTGTCAACTTCAGCAACAGCAATCGAAGTCTTAGCATTAGGCCAGATCTGCAATGTGTTTTCGGATGTTCTTAGAAGCTTGGCCTCAAGCCAGTTTCTCCATCTCCTCCATCAATTATAGGGGCTACTGGACATATTTTGCTAAACTATTCTTCCTCCTAGTTTTGTATTCTGTCATTTGCAACAGAGAAACTGGCTGATATAATTCTTAGATATTTATGGGTAATATTTAAGAGGATTTAGTGACCTAGTAGCCCAACCACTAGAACAGTGACCGACATATAGCAGACACTCAGTATGCCTGAATACCTGTTGAGAGGCAGGAAGGCAGGCAGGCAGACAGGTAAGTGGGAAGGAAGGAAGGAAGGGAGGGAGGGAGGGAGGGAGGGAGGGAGAAGAGGGAAGGAGAAGGGAAGGGACAGAGAGAGGGAGGGGAGAAGAAAAGAAGGATGAAGGAAAGGATAAACAGAGTGTATGTAATATGGGAGAGGAAGGAGTGTAGGATGATACATAGATTAGAAAACTTTGCGGATGGCAGTGCTATTACTGAGATGTGAAAGACAGAAAAGGGAGCAGGTTTCAGAAGATGATGAGTCAGGTTTGGGACCCTTGGATTCAAGTTTCCTCCAGTACATCCAAGTACAGATTTTCAGTGGATCGTTGGATATTTAGATTCAGAATTCAACAGGAAATTCAGGGCAGTAGATGATTTGGGGGTGACCCAGGCAGAGGAGTAAGTGAGTTTTGCATATGGAAGAAATGCCCTCGTGCAAAGAGGAAATGACAACAAGTAGAATTCTGAAACGTACCAGCATTTAAGAGATAGCTTGAGAAGATGCTCACAAAAGACACTGAGGAAAACTGCCAGAAGTTCATAAGAAACCAAGATCTGCCCCAGAGAGCTTTGTGGACCCACATGTCATCAAAGGCCAGTGGTGACTGGGCCAGGAGAAAACAAATCTTTCTGCTTCTGTTTCCACAGTGCATGGACCAAAACACTCACCTTCCCAGCTCCTTGCTATGAACAAGTACGGAAGGCAGGCCTCTTAACCAAGCTGCAGACATTTAGTGTGCCATCTGCTGAGTGCTAGGCACTGAGCAAGGCAATTTACATTGATTGTCCTTTTTCATTCCCTTTGTTGCACTGTAAGTGACATTACATTTGTCCCATTATTTGCTGAGGTTCAAAAATGTTAGGTCACTTTCCACTTCCCACAAGGGTGGCTATTAGAATCATTCAGCAAGAGATTCTGAACAAGGCTGGAGGGAAGAGGCTTCAAAAAGAGCAACCAGTTTGCATTACAGGAAACTGAGTCATGGAGCTGTTACTTGCCTGACAACACATGGTTAGTGACTGGTTCTAATCCCAGGCCCAACCTGCCTTTAGGATCCAGTGATGAACATAATGTTGATGACGACGTGACAGGGAGAGTAACAGTGATAGCAACAACGGTGAGTGCTACTACATTTATGGGGCACCTATAATATGCCAAAATCGGTGCGTTTCATGCATTGCCTCACTTAATCCTCATGACAACACAATGACGTAGGGCTATCATAACCCCTCTTCAGCCATGGCTGTAAAGGGGCTCAAATTGTCACCGTGAGCAATGATAATCCAGCTAGGGCTTGGAGCTGGAGGTTGGCTTGCAGGACAGGCTGGCAACAGGCTGCCCCACAGCAGATCCTGGCTTCTCAGACCCTGAGGCAGCCCCAGGGAGCAGACAGCCCAGCCCAACCCAGGCAAGGGAGACATTCTGCCCAGACAAACCACAGAAGCGTCTGGGGCGCTGCTGTCTCCTGCCCTCTATGAGCCTGTAGCAGCTTGTGTGTGCAGATCTCTGGGATGAGATGATCAAGGATTGGCTCTCCTGTCCCAAGTACTCATGAGGAAGCTGCCCTGTGTGCCATAGGGCTCATCTCTCCAGGCCTGCCCCGACCCAGGACACTGAAATAAACCATGCACAGGTCTATAGGTTGGGGAGGCGGATCAAAAAGGGTCCCCAAATAGCAGACCCTGGAGGGAATTTCAGCACCACCTTTGTTCTAAGCTTCTTTTCATCTGGCTTTCGGAACTAGGACCTGCTGGGTGGTTTATTCCCTTTTCTTTTAAGTCACATTTAAAATAACTTTTCAGTAATCACCCCAGCAGAAGGTACTTGACTTGGTGGGGATCCCCAGTGCCTAGAAAGGTGCTTGGTATGTGCTAGAAATAACAATTATTTATTGAACACTTACTATATGATAGGCAAGGTGCCATGAACTTTGCATTCTTTATCTCCTTTAATGCTCACTACAATCCTATGAAATATATTTTCTTGTTGTCTCCATTTTACAGATGAGAAAACTGAGACTTTGAAGCGACTTGGCTCAAGGTCATATAATGAAAAAGCCGCAGAGCTAAGATTTGACTGCAGTCCATCCTCAGACAGTCCCACTATGATACTGTGTTGTATAAAATAGGTGAGACAGAGAGAAAGTGAGAGAGAGAGAGAGAGAGAGAGAGAGAGAGAGAGAGTGTGTGTGTGTGTGTAGAAAGGCATCCTAATTTGATGGAGACATTTAGAAATCTTGGGCTTGAAGCTTAATTCTGCTATATGAAATCTGTGTGACCTCAATGAAAGAACTTGACATCTCTGATCCTCATCATTCTTTTCAAACCTCCAGTTGTGGAAGACAAAACATGGCTATGAAATAACAAGTATAAATGCAATAGAAATACATTGCATGAGTGAGTGAGTATACATAGACACTTGTGTGGCCCATGTGTATCTGTGTATGCAGAAGCTCCCTGGGCAGGTCTGTGTTTGTGTGTACATGCATTTACACGTGAGCATGCGTAGCAGAACTCATGTCTGTTTCCTTTCTTGAGAGCTCCCGGTTATGCATTGCGGGTCCAGAAAAGGTATCCAGATCTCCCTCATTATAACCATTTGCCTGTTGTACTTAGAAACCTTATTTTCTACAAAGTGATGACTGCCTCCCAGCTGTCGAAGTCTGGGTTATGGCATGAGGGAATGTCAAGCCTGCTTCCACGCCCAAATGCATGTTCAGCCCTCAGAGATTTCCCTTAGGCTGGGTAAGTGAGCCAGTTATAGCCACCTGGGAAAAAGGAGCCTCAGACGATGTGGAGGAGGCAGGGGAGAGGGTACCTGCTCCAGGTCTCATTTTCTTTTCTCAATACCCTAAGCAAATGCATCCTGACAAAGGAGAGGACTTTTTCACATAGAGTGAGAGCTCCATAAATATATATTAAAGACGTCAACAATCCTCAATGGTCACTTTTATAAGATCCATTTTACAGATAAGAGAACTGAGTTTCAAAAAGTTTAAGTAACTTATTCAAGGTCACAGGGCACATAAGCAGCAAAGACAGAATCCTGATGCAGCTCCATCCTACACCAAACCCTGTGCTTATTCCACTGTGACCATGAAGGTATCAATCCGGTGCACCTGGCAAGGTCATAGGTGAGGCAGCTGGGATTTCCCAACCTGCCTCGACATGTCGCCTTAGCCAGGGTGACTGAGCAAGAAAGCACTGTCTCAGCCTGAAATTGTGCCAAGAAAAGGGTGCAGACTCAGAGACCAGCTTAGCAGTGCTGTAAAGGGGCATCACCCTGCTGGCAAGTTGTGTCCTTACCTGCAAACTGGTCTGGCACGTCACACCTCTCAGGTCCAGTGGAGACCAGAAGAGTGTTCTAGGTGGTGAGATCAGCACATACAGGTGTGTGAACCAGAGATGAAGACCTACTGAACATCAGGCAGTAGGGATGGAGGGAAGGAAAGGCCAAGTCCTGAAGGTCTAGTGAAGCCATCTGTATTAGTTTCCTGAACTTGGCAGCCTAAAACAACAAGCATTTATTCTCTCTCAGTTTCATAGGGCAAAAATCCAAAATGAGTTTCAGTGGGCCAATATCAAGGTGTCGGCAGGGCTTTGCTCCCTCTGGGGGCTCTAGTGGAGAATCCATTCTTTGCCTCTTGCAGCTTGTGGGGGCTGCCAGCTTCCACTGGTCTCAGTTGCATCGTACAATATCTGCCCCCATGATCACTTTGCTTCTCAGTCTGTGTGTGGTAAAACCTCCCTCTGCCTCCCTCTTATAAAGAGACATGTGATGGTATTTAGGGCCCACCTGGATAAGACAGGATAATCCCCATCTTAAGACCCTTCACTTATCACTTCTGCAAACAGTCTTTTTCCAAAAGAAAAAAAAAAGGAATATTTACGGGGATTAGGAACAATTTTCTTTTGGGAAACTTTTCAGCCTAGTACACCATCTAAATAAGCTGATACTACATCTTGGTGGCACCGAGGAGCCATTGGAAGGTCTTTAGTGGCAGAGTGCCGTGATGAGATCTATTTCCTAAAATAAATGTGGACTCTTTCATGGCCTGTGGCAAGTCCTCTCCCTGCTCGAGGTTTCTGAAATGTCCCAGAGCTTACACTCTTTTGTCTCTTCTGGCTCCCTTTCTTTCTCACTTACCTATGATCTTCTGCACTTCTGCTCAAATGCAGAATTAAATTCTTCTTCCTTGATCTTTACCTCCTCCCCACAAAAAAGTTCACTCACACAAGACATTTGTGTGTGTTGATGACTTTACTAAAGGTTTGTAATGTCAGACGGAGTTGACATCATAGAATGCAATTTTAAATTAAGCATTAAATACCTTGTTTTTATGCATCCTTGACTTACCCTGGCTACTTTCTTTCCAGACTTTCCCCTTCTACCATTCCCAGCCTACTTACTTTCATTCTTTTTTACTGTTTTCCTTGTCTCTGCTCTACCCCATCCCTAAATCCCTGCAATTTCTAAGACTGAGCAGTTAAGATATGTCTTATCCTCTCCAGGTGATTATTTTCCTAAGCAAGGGTAACTTCCTTCCCAAGAGGATGCCTAAAACTGGCAGTTGAAATCAGAATTTTTCATCCTATTGCATGTATACATAGACGCATATTATATGTTAAATATATTTAAAGGGACATCACACATGTAAATGCCCACACACTCTCACATACACACATTCCCCAAAGGTCACAGCTAAGTCCCAACTTGAAGGAAGCATGTTCTGATGTCATCACCATGACCCACCCACCCATCTGGTTTGAGCTGTGGTTGGCAGCAAGTAATTAGCATTCACCAGGATGGCAAGGCCAGCTTTCACTGTGGATCCCAACAGCCTGCCTCACAGCAAGAGACTCTGCTTTGGTGTAATTACCTATTCCTTGCACACCAGTTGCCCTGGTGTGATGTCAGCCCCTCCGCATTGTTTATTTTAATTAAAACAGAAATTGCAGGTCTTAGGTGCTTGTAATTACAGCCCATGAACTAAATTGACTGAGGCCCCTAATTAACCTGAAACACGTCTACCTGGCTGGAGGTGTGAGTTTGGACTTGACTAGTTAAGGGCACTGCATCGGCACCAAAAAGAGAGCAAAGAAAGATCTAGTAGAGATTCAGATAGGGCATTTGCCCTCCAAAAACAGCCACACACAGCCTGAACCCTTCAGACCACATTGTGGGTTCAATTTCAATTCCAAATGTACCTATTAGCCCAGGACACATTCACAAACGTGTAGTGATGGCATATAAAAATCAGCTAATGTAATCATCAATAGAATAGAAAGCATAAACATGAGAATAAAAAGTAAAAATCAAAAATCACATTATCATTTCAACAGACACAGAAAAAACTTTTGAGAAAACCCAACGCTCTTTTTTTTTTTTTTTTAGTAAAAACACTCAACAAACTAAGGTTAAAAGAGAACATCCTCAACCTGATAAAGAGCATCTATGAGAAACCCATAGCTACATCATACTCAGTGGTGAAAAACTAGATGCTTTCCCCCTAAGATCAGGAACATGACAAGGATGTCTGCCCTTACCACTTCAACTAGGCATTGTTCTGGAGGTTCTATCCCAGGCAACTGAAAAAGAAAAAGAAATAAAGACATTCAGATTGGAAAGAAAGAAGTAAAACTATCTCTATTTTTATATGACATGATCTTGTACATATATAATACCAAAGAATCCACTAAAAAATAGAACTAGTAAATTAATTCAACAAGGTTGTAGGATATAAGATCAATATGCAAAAATCAACTGTATTTCTATACACTTGCAATGAGGAATCTAAAAATAAAGTTAAGAAAATAATTTAATCTACAATGATATAAAAATAGTAAAATAGGAATAAATTTAACACAAAAATATAAAACTTAAACTCTGAAAACTACAAGACATTGTTGAAAGAAATAAAAGACCTATAAAACTGGAAAAGCATTCCATGTTCATGGATTGGGAACCTTAATATTGTTAAGATGGCAATATTCCTCAAATTGATCTATAAATTTAACACAATCCCTATCAGAATCCCAGCTAGCTTCTTTGTACAACTTGAAACTGATTCTAAAACTCATATGTAATTTCAAAGGTCTTGAACTAGTCAAAATCATCTCAAAGAAAACAAAGTTGAAGGACTCACATTTCTCAATTTCAAAACTTACTACAAAGCAACAATAATAAAAGCAATAATGTCCATTCTTACTACCCTAAAAATGGACCTAGAGACCAATAGAATAGAATTGAGGATCCAGAACTAAACTCATATGTCTGTGGCCAACTGATTTTTGACATGGCCAAGTGATACTGAATGCCAAGACTAAACAATAAGGGAAGAGTAGTCTTTACAGCAAACAATGCTAGAACAACTGCACAGCCACTCACAAAACAATGAAGGTCAACCCTTACATCATACCATATACAAAAACTATTTTAAAATTGATCAAAGGCATAAATGCAAGAGCTAAAACCAGAAATACACACACACACACACACACACACACACACACACACACAGGTAGATCTTGATTATCCTGTATTTGACAATGAAGTCTTCAAAAGAACACCAAAATCACAAGAAACAACAACAAAAATAGATAAATTGGACTTCAAAATTAGAAATTTTTGTGCTTTAAAAGACACTGTTAAGAAAATGAAAAGGCTTTAATCCATCTTGAGTTAATTTTTATATAAGATGTAAGGAAGGGGTCAGTTTTCTGCATCTGGCTAGCCAGTTTTCTGCATATGGCTAGCCAGTTTTCCCAGCACCATTTATTGAATAGGAGATCTTTTCCCCATTGCTTGTGTTTGTCAGGTTTGTTGAGAAGCAGATGGTCATAGATTTGTGGTGTTATTCCTGAGGCGTCTGTTCTCTTCCATTGGTCTCTATGCCTGTTTTGGTTCCAGTACCATGCTGTTTTGGTTACTGATGCCTCCAGCTTTGTTCTTTTTGTTTAGGTTTGTCTCAACTATACAGGGTCTTCTTTGATTCCATATGAAATTTAAAGTAGTTTTTTCTAATTCTGTGAAGAATGTCAGTAGTACTTTGATGGGAAGAGCACTGAATCAATAACTTACTTTTGGCAGTAGGCTGTTTTCACAATATTGATTCTTCCTATCCATGAAGATGGAATGCTTTCTTGAGCAGTGGTTTGTAGTTCTCTTTGAAGAAGTCTTCATGTCCCTTGTCAGCTGTATTCCTAGGTATTTTATTCTCTTTTTAGCAATTGTGAATAGGAATTCATTCACACATTGGCTCTCTGCTTGTCTATTGTTGATGTAAAGGAATGCTTGTGATTTTTGCACACTGATTTTGTATCCTGAGACTTTGCTGAGGTTGCTTATCAGTTTAAGGAGTTTGGGGCTGAAATGATGGAGTTTTCTAAATATAAAATCATGTCATCTTCAAATAGAGACAATTTGAATTCCTGTCTTCCTATTTGGGTATATTTTATTTCCTTCTCTTGCCTGATTGCCCTGGCCAGAACTTCCAACACTATGTAGAATAGGAGTGGTGAGTGAGGGCATCCCTGTCTTGTACTGGTTTTCAAAGGGAATGCTTCCAGCTTTTGCCTATTCAATATGATATTGATATTGGCTGTGGGTTTGTCATAAATTTTGAGTAAATGTAAAACCCAAAACAATAAAAAACTTGAAAACCTAAGCAATACCATTCAGGACATAGGCATAGGCAAAGACTTCATGAAAAAAAATGCCAAAAGCAATTGCAACAAAAGCCAATCATCAGAGTGCACAGGCAACCTACAGAATGGGAAAAAAACTTTTGCAATCTACACATCTGACAAAGGTCTAATATCCAGAATTTACGAGGAACTTAAACAAATTTACAAGAAAAAAAAAAAAAAACACACCAAAATGTGGGCAAAAGATATGAACAGACACTTCTCAAAATAAGACATTTACATGGCAAACAAACATATGAAATAAAGCTCAATATCACTGATCATTAGAGAAATGCAAATCAAAACCACAATGAGACACCATCTCATGCCAGTCAGAATGGTGATGATTAAAAAGTCAAGAAATAATAGATGCTGGCAAGGCTGTAGAGAAATAAAAACACTTTTACACTGTTGGTGAGAATGTAAATTATTTCAACTATTGTGGAAGACAATATGGTGATTCCTCAAGGATCTGGAACCAGAAATATCATTTGACCCAGCAATCCCATTACTAGGGATATACCCAAAGGAATATAAATCACTCTACTATAAAAACACATACACACGTATGTTTACTGCAGCACTGTTTATAATAGCAAAGTCATGGAACCAACCTGAATGTCCAACAATGATAGACTGGATAAAAAAAATGTGGTACATATATACCACGGAGTACTACACAGCCATAAAAAGAAATGAGATCATGTCCTTTGCAGGGATATGGATGAAGCTGGAAGCCATTATCCTCAGCAAACTAACACAGGAACAGAAAAACCAAACACTGCATGTTCCCACTCATAAGTGAGAGTTGAACAATGAGAACACATGCACACAGGGAGGAGAACAACACACACCAAGACCTGTTACAGGGTGGGGAGCGAGGAGAGGGAACTTAGAGGATGGATTAATAGATGCAGCAAACCACCATAGTACATGTATACCTATGTAACAAACCTCTACGTTCTGCACTGGTATCCTGGAACTTAAAGTAAAATTTAAAGAAAAAAGAAAAGAAAATGAAAAGGCAACCTACGAATGAAAGAAGATATTTTCAAATGGTGTATCTGATGAGAGACTTGTTTAGAACATGTAAAGAGCTCTTAAAACTGAGTAATAAAAAGACAAATAACTCAATTTAAAGGTAGGCAAAGAATCTGCATTAGCCTTTATCCAAAGAAGATATACAAATGGCCAATGAACACATAAAAAAACACTCAACTACTAATCAGGGAAATGCATATTAAAACCACAATGGGAGGCCACTTCACAGTAACTAAGATTGCCTAGATAGCAACAAAATCAGAAACAAAAAACACATCAGTGTTGGAGCTGTGGGGAAACTGGAACGCTCATACACTGCTGATAGAATGTAAAATGGTGCAACCACTTTGGGAAACAGCCGGAAAGTTCCTCAAAAAGTTCAACACAGAGTTACCATATGACCAGCAATTTCACTCATAGTATATAACCAAGAAAAATGAATATATATGTCACATAAAAATCTTTTACACAAATGTTTATGTAATTATTTATAATAATGCATTGTTATGAATTACTTACAGTCAAAAAGTAGAAATGACCCAAATATTAATATAAATCAATTTATGATAGACAATATATGATATATTCATACATTGGAAGAAAATTCAGCCACAAACAATAAATGGAATGTTGATATATGCTACCACATAAATGAACTTTGAAAAAATTAAATGTGTGAAAGAAGACAGTCACAAAATATCACATATTATATAATTATATTTAAATATAATGGCCAGAATAGGTAAATCTATAGAGACAGGAAGTAGATTAGCATTCGCTTAGGGCTGGGGAAAATAGTGGGGTAGGGGAGGGAATGCAGAGTTTCTTTGTGAGGCGAGAAATATGTTCTAAAATTGACTGTAATGATGGCTGAACATACCTGTAACTATACTAAAAACCATTGAATTGTGCACTCTAAATGGGCGAATTATATGATATATGAATTATATCTCAATGAAGCTGTTTTACTAAGTGTATTGAGTACCAAATACATGCCAAACACCATATACGTGCTGATATAAAAGTCAGGTCAAATACATAAACTGATAGATACATTTAAATGTAATTTTAAAAACATTCAAATAATCCAAAAAAAAAAATACATAAACTGAGTGTCTTCTTTGTTTTTTTAATGATTCTTCTTAAATTTTTAGAAAATTAAGGAAAACTATTGAGAATTGTCTGTTCATATCCTTTGCCCAGTTTTTGATGGGTTTTTTTGTTTTTTTCTTGTAAATTTGTTTAAGTTCTTTGTACATTCTGGCTATTAGCCCTTTGTCAAATGAGTAGATTGTAAAAATTTTTTCCCATTCTGTTGGTTGCCGGTTCACTCTAATGATAGTTTCTTTCACTGTGCAGAAGCTCTTTAGTTTAATTACATTTCATTTGTCTATTTTGGCCTTTGTTGCCATTGCTTTTGGTGTTTTAGTCATGAAGTCCTTGTCCATGCCTATGTCCTTGCCTATGTCCATGCCTATGGTATTGCCTAGGAAGACATTTATGCAGCCAACAAACATGAAAATAAGCTCATCATCACTGGTCATTAGAGAAATGCAAATCAAAACCACATTGAGATACCATCTCATGCCAGTTAGAATGGTGATCATTAAAAAATCAGGAAACAACAGATGCTGGAGAGGATGTGGAAAAATAGGAACACTTTTACACTGTTGATGGGAATGTAAATTAGTTCAACCATTGTGGAAGATGGTGATTCCTCAAGGATCTAGAAATAGACATATCATTTGACCCAACAATCCCATTACTGGCTATATACCCAAAGGATTATAAATCATTCTATTATAAAGACACATGCACACATACGTTTATTGCGGCACTGTTCACAATAGCAAAGACTTGGA